TGCCCGAATGACGGTTGGGGCATGCACAGTGTCAGACACCGGAGTGATCACTGTGCGTCGACATGTTGTCGGGTCGGATGTATTCTGCCAGGGGACAGGCAAAGCCTGCGCCAGGACGTATACGTGCGTAGATGTCTCCTACTGCTCCTCTTCGCCCTGCCTCCTCCTTTTCGTGCTCCATACGAAATCACGGACATCAGTTTTCAGCACAGGAACTCTTCAATTATCTTTTTCTTCCTCATCCTCCTCCTCCTCCTCCTCCTGCTCCTCCTCCTCGTCCTCCTCCTCCTCCTCCTGCTGCTCCTCCGCCCCTCCGCAGCATAGAGGAGGAAGCAGAGTAAGAGAGGAGGAGCAGCAGCAGCAGCAGCCGCAGGACCCAGGGCCCAGGACCTCCCAGTCCGACAGAGTTCCCCGCGGGGGTCCACGGTCCAGCCGTCCGACGTCGTGCTCTGTTTGTGACGTGGGCCCCCCTGGGATCTTTCGACGCCCCTGCGGCACCCGGCGTCCTGGGCCGATCTCTGATGGCCCCGGGGCTTCAAGCGAGCCTCAAGTGCTGGCTACATTTCGCCAGAATGACCTTCAGTGCGCAGATTTCCGGGGAAGGGGGGGGCAAACCAAGGCGCCCATCCCGCTGGTTCCGCATCGCATGCAACGACAGGCAAGCCGCGCGCCAAAGGTCGCCCGTGCCACTTGCTGTCTGCGCAAGCCCAGCTTTCAATCTCAATGGCCCAGACAAGGTTCTTGGAAAATCGCAACATGAACGACCATATCTTTCGTGATGGAGGCGTCTTTGCTCGACTTCTGTACTTTCTAGTGTTGTCACAGAGCGGGCCGTTTCCTTCGCGACGTCGCTGCTGCGCCTCGGAGTCCCGAAGTCCCTCTTGCTTGTGATCTGTGGGATCTACGGAAATGTGGTCACCGATGTCCTGAGGGGTCAGGTATTTAGCGGGTACGCTATCTTTCGAGAAGTCTACCAACGGCGCTCAGTTAGTGGGGAATTGTTTGCGTTGTGCTTCGACCGGGCCATTATAGATTTAGGCAAAGCTGCAACATCGCATCCTGCTCGGCCGCAAGAATTTATTTGTCGACGGCATTGGCGCTGTTTCTGCGGACCTGGTCGTCATGATCCTGGTGGTCGTCCGCATTATGATGACAGCGGTCTGGGTCCTTGAACCCCCCCTGAGCCCGAAGAATTGGGTTATGATATCCACGGTGGACTGGAGAGGGCCGAAACGTGTTCCACTACCTTTCCTGCCCGCTTGCCCTGCCTCTGTTGTCCTTTGTCGATCCTTCATTTCCCCTCTCCTATACCGAGTGGTCTCCCAAGGATCGCTTGTTGTTGGCCACACGTCCTCAAGTGTCCCCTACTGAATTGAAACCCCAGGATGAGAGATGGATGCCTGGTTCAAAGCTTTTTTCGCGGCGAGGGTTAGGACCATCGCCAAGAAGAAGCAAGCTATTCAAGCTCCCATTGCCAGACCCGAACCCTGAACGGCGAGCTCGTTATCGCGATCGGCAGCATCATCATTATGTGTTCCCCTTTTCTCCTTCTTCCCCATATTCTCCCACATCCTCTTCCTCATCCCCCTTCCCCCTCCTCCTTGTTTCATCATCCTCGCTATCTCCCTTTTCTTCCTCATCCCTGCGTCCCTCCCTCCCTCCCTCCGAATGATGTGCCTCATCATCATCATCACCACCACCACCATCATCATCATCATCATCATCATCATCATCACCAGCATCATCATCACCATCATCATCATCACCACCAGCATCATCACCACCATCATCCCTCGTCATCCCTCGTCATCCCCTTCCTCGCCCGCCCCCATCCCTGATCCTCCTCCTCCGCTGCCCCCCCTCCTCCTCACCCCCTCCTCCCCCACCCTCATCCTGCTGCGGCCGATTGGGCGCGAGCCGATTTTGTTGTTTAAGTTCCGCGCGTGCGGAGCCCGGCCGACTGGGCCAATTGGGCGCGAAAGCCCAGAGCGGCGGCGCGCGCCAAGCGCGCGCAGTGCGGGCGCCGTTGGCGCCACCGCGGCGGATGAGCCGATGGGGCCCGTCCCCCGCGCGCCCGGGCGTCCCCCTGGCGCCCGGGGCACAGGCGCCCAGCGGCCAGGGGCGGCCGTCGTTTTCGTCGTTCGCCCTTGGCGCTCAGGTGGAGAAGGGCAAGGAGGAGGAGGAGGAGGAGGAGGAGGAGGAGGAGGGCGAGGAGGAGGAGGAGGAGGAGAAGGGGAGGAGGAGGAGGATATGAAGAGGAGGAGGAGGAGGACGAGGAGGAGAATGACGAGGAGGAGGAGGAGAACCAGAGTAAGCTCAATATGCATCAGCGATGCTGCAGTACACCCTCCCGTCCCAGGGCTCCTCCTCATGCGGCCCTACAGGGTTTCTTTGTCTCTGCAAGAAGCAACCTCGCCGGAAGACCCGCACAGTTGGGCCTGCGAGTTTGGCGAGGGCCCCGCTGTGAGAATTGATGACCTGGCATTTTTCTGGCGCGTAATCATGGGCGAAGGGGAGAGCAATGACCATACATGTCAACCAGGTGTCCAGGGAAAATCCACTTTCGAAGAACGACCGCCACCACATGCTGAAATTGTTGTACAAGTTTAAATAGTTTGAACATGCTCGACCCACGAACCTGGAAAGGAATATAGAAAAATGTGAGGCGTGACAACGTTTCAAAGACACTTGATTGGGCGACGGGCAAACGCAATGCTGAGTGTATCGATATTGATGTACCGTGCCGAGAGCTATGCTGTGCAGCGCCGTGCTGAATTGCGATGTGCCATGCCGCGATTGTGCTCTATAGCGTTGTGGATCGAGTCCTCCTTTGCATCCGAGTCCTGACCGAACTGATCTGGATCTTAAGCTCGAGCTGCCTCAGCACAAAGTAGCTGCCCCAGAGCTAATTGGCAGGGGAACATGCCAGGAGGACGCGCCGCGGAACGTCCCAAGGGACACGCTAGGCGACGTGCCAGGGGACGTGCCACGGGGACGCACCGCGGGACGTGCCGAGGGGAAGCGCTACGGAACGTGCCAATGGACGTGCCACGGGACGTGCCAGAGGACGCGCCGCGCGACGTGCCAGGGGGATTCGCCACGGGACGCGCCACGGAACGTGCCAAGGAACGCGCCAGGTTGCAATGTTGAGTGTATCGTTCTTGATGTACCGTGCCGAGGGCTGTGCTGTGCAGCGCCGTGCTGAATTGCGATGTGCTATGCCGCGATTGTGCTCTATAGCGTTGTGGATCGAGTCCTCCTTTGCATCCGAGTCCTGACCGAACTGATCTGGATCTTAAGCTCGAGCTGCCTCAGCACATAGTAGCTGCCCCAGAGCTCATTGGCAGCGGAACATGCCAGGAGGACGCGCCGCGGAACGTCCCAAGGGACGCGCCAGGCGACGTGCCAGGGGACGTGCCACGGGGACGCACCGCGGGACGTGCCGAGGGGACGCGCTACGGCACGTTAAAAATACGTTGTCCTTGCTCGGGACAACCATGTTAGATATCCCCCTGGATGGTTTGGACACCTAAAAACACATGGTGCCAGCTCGGGATACCATGATAGATACACCCCTTGAATAGCCTGGACACGTTAAAACACGTGGTCTTTGCTCCGAACAATCATGTTAGATACCCCCTGGTTGGCCGGGACACGTGAAAACACACGGTTCAAGTTCGGGACAACCATGTTAGATATCCATTTGGGTGGCTTGGACATGTAAAAACATATGGTTCCAGCTCGGGACCACCATGTTAGATACCCCCCTGGGTGGCCTGCACACATAAAAAAACACATGGTCCAGCCCACCCAGGGGGCATATCTAACATGCGGTCGTCTGGAGCGCAGGAGGGCCCAGGAACGCCCAGAGGCGCCTGGAGGCCAAAAAGTCAACGGATCGATACCAAATACAAATAAACTCTCGACGTTCCGTTCCGAGTCCCAGGAAGGATCCAGGAGTCCCATGTTAGATACCCTTTTGAGTGGCCTGGACACGTGAAAACACGTGGCTCCAGCGAGGGACCACCATCTTAGACACCCCCTTGGGTGGCCTGGACACGTGAAACACACGGTTCCAGCGCAGAACCACCATGTTAGATACCCCCAGTTCCAGCTCGGGACCACGATGTTAGATACACACCTGGGTGGCCTGCACACGTGAAAACACGTGGCTCCAGCGCGGGACCACCATGCCTGGACACGTGAAAACACATGAAAACACGTGGTTCCAGCTCGGGACCACCATGTTAGATACTTCATGAGTGGCTTGGACACGTAAAAGCACGTGGTTCCAGCTCAGGCCATGTTAGATACGCCCCTTGGGTGGCCTGGACACATGAAAACACGTGGCTCCAGCGCAGGACCACCATGTTAGATACCCCCTTGGGTGGCTTGGACACGAAAAGAAACAGGTGGCTCCAGCTCGGGACCACCATGTTAGATACCCACCTGAGTGGCCTGCACACGTGAAAACACGTGGCTCCAGCGCGGGACCATGTTAGATACCCCCTGGGTGGCCCGGACACGTGAAAACACATGAAAACACGTGGCTCCAGCTCGGGACCACCATGTTAGATACTTCATGGGTGGCTTGGACAAGTAAAAGCACGTAGTTCCAGCTCAGGACCACCATGTTAGATACCCCCGTGGGTGGCGTGGGCAAGTGAAAACACGCGGTTCCAGCGCGGGGCCACCATGTTAGATACACCCTCTGGGCGACCTGGGCACGTGAAAATACGTGGCTCCAGCGCGGGACCACCATCTTAGACACCCCCTGGGTGGCCTCGACGACAGGTGAAACACGTGGCTCCAGCTCGGGACCAACATGTTAGATACCCACCTGGGTGGCCTGTACACGTGAAAACACGTGGCTCCAGCGCGGGACCACCATGTTAGATACCCACCTGTTTGGCTTGGACACGGGAAAACGTGGTACCAGCTCGGGACCACCATGTTAGATACCCACCTGGGTGGCCTGGACACATGAAGCGACGTGGTACCCCGCTTGTGCGGCCGAGGAAATCTTGGAAAATAAGCGCATTAGACGAGGCATCCTCGAAGTTCCTGCGCGCGGGACGCGGCATGCGCGAGACATCATCGGACTTCCTGCGCGCGGGACGCTTTTCCACGTCGCGGTCGGGGCTCCAGATTTTGCGTGTTTTGAAGATGTTGTTAAAAATGCCCCTCCGTTTTTCTTTACGAAGGAAAACGGTGGCCTGCGGACCCCGTTATTTATCGAGGGTCCGAGATGGGGGGGGAAATTTGCCTCGAGCGGGCACGCGAAAAACGCATTTGCTCAACTGCAAATTAACATGTTATTTCGTAAGTTATCGCAAATAATTCCGCCAGCCCACCCGAGGAGGTAAAACCTCTAACAGAGAGCCCTGGGCCCGCGCCCTTTCCGGGAAAAAGAACCGCCCTGGATACGTACAGCGCTACATGCGTTGAAGCTTCGGGTTTGTATCAGCGAAGTCTAAAGCGACAACTCCGATTTGAAAAAGAACCATCTTCCATCTTGCTACGCGTTGCATCAAAAGCCAATGCACGCGGCGTCGAGGCGAGAACCTCAGGTTGAAGACGACCCGTGGTCAATCTTAGAAATGGTTGCAAGATTTTGAGACGAATGCTCGCGGTGCTAAGGCGAGAGCCCCACTTTGAAAAGAAACCGCATTCCATCTGTGAATTGATTGCAAAATGTTGGCGCGCTTGCGCGTGTGAAGGCGAGAGCACCATATTGAAAACGCCCCCCCTTCTACCCCTGAAGCTGCTGCAAATTGTTACACGAGTGTGCGTGGCGCAACGGCGTGAGCCGCATTTTGAAAATTGCAGCCCCTCGATCCCTGAAGCGGTTGCAAATGTTTAAGACGAGTCTGCGCTGCGCTAAGGTGAGAGCCACACTTTGAAAACGACCCACCTCCATCCGTGAAACTGATGTGAACTTTTATGGCGAAAGTGCGGCGCTACGGCGGGAGTCATATTGTGGAAACGAAACGCCCTCCATCTTGAAAGTTGCGGCGCACTTTGAAGACAGACGCGCGCGGCGCCTAGGCGAGAGCCAAGTCCTGGAAAGGAGCCGCCCTCCATCCTTGAAATGTTTGCAACGTTCATAACATAGTGCTCGCGGCGCTAAGGCGAGAGGCACATGTTGAAAACGGCCCGCCCCCCATCTTTGAAAAAGCTTCCATTCCTTAAGACGAACATGCGCACTGCGAAGGCTACAGCCACATTTTGAGAACCACCCGCCCTCCATCCTTGCAGGTGTTCCAAAGTTCAAGCTCCATGGTCATAAATGATACGACAATCTCAGTCGACATTCCGGGCCCACCCTACCGACACGTCTGGGGGTGCGACAGGGAGGCGTTACTTGCAAGGGAAAGGTACGGAGGAGGCGGAGGAGGAGGAAGAGGAGGAGGATTGGAGGAGGAGGAGGAAGAGGAGGAGGATTGGAGGAGGAGGAGGTGGAGAGGAGAGGAGGAAGAGGAGGAGGAGGAGGAGGAGGAGGAGGAGGAGGAGGATAGGAGGAGGAGGATCTGCGACACGCAATATTGACCCTTCGCCAGGGTGGCCTTTGCTGCGCGGCTTTCGGTGGGGCGCGGGGGGGGCAAACCCAAGCACGCAGGCCGCGACTGTCGCATCGCATGGAACGATCGGTAAGCCGCGCACCAAAGGCCACTTTTGTTTACACTCACACGTGGGAAGAGGGGTGGAGGAACAGGGGGAGGAGGAGGAGGAGGAGGAGGAGGAAGACGAGGAGGAGGAGGAGGAGGAGGACGAGGAGGAGGAGGAACAGGAGGACGAGGAGGAGGAGGAGGAGGAGGACTAAAAGGAGGACGAAGAGGAGGAAGAGGGTTTTTGCCCGAGTGGACCTGGGGCTCTGCGTGTCGCCCTCAGCTGAGCAGTCCGCGCACCGTACGAGATACTTCCAACGCTCACACATCACACCGTTTCCCATCTCTCGTGTTCTCTCATCTCAGTCCTAAGCACTACGGCGTTGAGGTCAAGATGGCCAGCAGCTATTGCTCTTATCAGCAGCGTCGCACTTGGCTACTTGGCTTAAAAGCGCGGAAGAGACAATACAGAGCATGGAAAGGCGCTCAATAGAGCCGGATTCTCACTACGCACGCATCGTATTCACATATTTTACAACGATCTGGGACGACTACCCACATCGATCGACATCGGCATCAACACTCAGCTTACTTTAAAAAATTGCGATAACAAGTGACCAGGCTCTGTTACTCAGAGTACGCATATTCACCGACCTGCAGGCCAGCAAACTAAGCAGCAGACAATTAGGCAGCACGCCCAGCAGACCACCCAGCAGACCAGTAGAAGACCACCAGCAGACCACGCAGCAGCTCTCCCCCACGACTACAACAGCCACCGCGACAGCTATCACGACAACAACCACAGCAGCCACCACGACAACTACCACGAGAGTAACCACGACATTTACTACGACAGATACCACGGCAACCACCACGACAGCCACCACAACAACTACAACAACAGCTGCCACGACAGCCGCCGCGGCAGCCACCTCTACGGCAACGCGACAGCCACCACGACAGGCACCACAGCAGTAACACGACAGCCGCAGCAACACGACAGCCACCACAACAGCCACGACGGCAGCAAAACGACAGCCACCGCGACAGCGTCTACGACAACCACTACGACAGCTATTACGACAAGCACCACGGCAGCCACCACGACAAGAATTACGATGGCTATCACGATAGCCAACACTAGGGGGAACAAAAAGTGACACAAACATAAAAACTCGGAGGTCCGCGCGGATTTCTCGGATCGGCGCTGGGGCCCCCCGGAGGCGCCTCCGGCGCCGCCCCTGGCGCGCTTCGCGCGCCAGGGAGGGGGGTCCAGCGCCGATCCGAGAAATCCGCGCGGACCTCCAAGTTTTTATGTTTACGCCACTTCTTGTTCCCCTAAACACGAAAGCTACCACGGCAGCAACTCGGCAGCCACCGCGACAGCCATTGCGACGACAACCACAGCTACCACGACAAGCACCACAGCAGCCACCACGACAACCATTACGGCAGCTACTACGACAGCCGCCGCTACAGCCACCACGTCTGTCACCACCACAGCAACGTGACAGCCACCCCAACAGGCACCACGGAAGCAATTACGACAGCAACGTTACAGCCACCACGACAGCCACCACGACAACTACCGCGACAGCTACTACGACAGCCACCACGACAGCTACCACGGCAGCCACCGCGACAGCCACCGCCGACGACCACCACGACAGCTACTATTACAGCTACCACGACAAGCACCGCAGCCACCACGACAACTGCTACGACAGCTACCAGGACAGCCGCCGCGACAGCCACCACGACTGTCACCACCACAGCAACGTGACAGCCACCCCGACAGGCACCACGGAAGCAACGCTACAGCCACCACGACAGCAATTACGACAGCAACGCTACAGCCACCACGACAGCCAACACGACAACTACCTCGACAGCTACTACGACAGGCACCACGACAGCCACCGCTACAGCAACGCGACAGCCAACGCGCCAGCCACAACGGCAACAACACGACTGCAACCACGACAGCCACCACGACAGCTACCACGGCAGCTACCACGGCAGTCATCGCGACAGCCACCGCGACGACGACGACAGCTAACACTACAGCTGCCACGACAAGCACCACGGCAGCCACCACGACAACTACTACGACAGCTACCACGACAGTCGCCGCGACAGCCACCACAACAGCAACGCGACAGTCACCACGACAGGCACCACGGCAGCATCACGACAGCCATCACGACAGCACGTACGGCAGCAACACGACAACCACCACGACAGCCACCACGACAATTACCTCGACAGCTACCACTACAGATACCACCACGACTGCGCCCGCCAGGCCTAATTCGTTTGCGCGTTGCCTGAGTCCGGATTCATCCCCATATCCTAAGATGGGGTTCTTGTTATTACTTGGACGCCTCCTACTCCCTCTCCTCCTTCCTCCTCCTCTTTCCTCCTCCCCTCCTGTCGGACTTACTCATACTCAGACTTGCTCATACCCAGACTTGCTCATACACAGACTTACTCATACTCAGATACTCTCATACTCAGATCTACTCATACTCAGACCTACTCTTAGTCAGACATACTCATGCTCAGACTTACTCATACTCAGACATACTCATACTCAGGCATATTCATACTCAGACCTACTCATACCCAGACTTACTCATACTCAAACTTACTCATACTCAGACATTCTCATACCCAGACGTACTCATACTCAGACTTACTCACACTCAGACATATCCATACTCAGACTTACTCATACTCAGACTTACTCATAGTCTGAGCCTTACTCAACACACAGCAGATTGTCAGGATGTCTCAGGCGGGGCGCTGGTTTCAGCACCCCTAAGGGGAGCCGCCAGGGGTGGTTGCACGGGCTCGTTCGCGGCCATTTTGTGGGGATGTCTCAGGCGGTTTGCTTGTTTCTGGGCCCAACATCCTTCGCTTGGAGAGCAGATTGTGAGGATGTCTCAGGCGGGGCGCTGGTTTCAGCACCCCTAAGGGGAGCCGCCAGGGGTGGTTGCACGGGCTCGTTCGCGGCCATTTTGTGGGGATGTCTCAGGCGGTTTGCTTGTTTCTGGGCCCAACATCCTTCGCTTGGAGAGCAGATTGTGAGGATGTCTCAGGCGGGGCGCTGGTTTCAGCACCCCTAAGGGGAGCCGCCAGGGGTGGTTGCACGGGCTCGTTCGCGGCCATTTTGTGGGGATGTCTCAGGCGGTTTGCTTGTTTCTGGGCCCAACATCCTTCGCTTGGGAGCAGATTGTGAGGATGTCTCAGGCGGGGCGCTGGTTTCAGCACCCCTAAGGGGAGCCGCCAGGGGTGGTTGCACGGGCTCGTTCGCGGCCATTTTGTGGGGATGTCTCAGGCGGTTTGCTTGTTTCTGGGCCAACATCCTTCGCTTGGAGAGCAGATTGTGAGGATGTCTCAGGCGGGGCGCTGGTTTCAGCACCCCTAAGGGGAGCCGCCAGGGGTGGTTGCACGGATGTCTCAGGCGTTTCGTTTCTGGGGCCATTTTGTGGGGATGGGCGGTTTGCTTGTTTCTGGGCCCAACATCCTTCGCTTGGAGAGCAGATTGTGAGGATGTCTCTCGGGGCGCTGGCTTCAGCACCCCTAAGGGGAGCCGCCAGGGGTGGTTGCACGGGCTCGTTCGCGGCCATTTTGTGGGGATGTCTCCGGCGGTTTGCTTGTTTCTGGGCTCAACATCCTTCGCTTGGAGAGCAGATTGTGAGGATGTCTCAGGCGGGGCGCTGGTTTCAGCACCCCTAAGGGGAGCCGCCAGGGGTGGTTGCACGGGCTCGTTCGCGGCCATTTTGTGGGGATGTCTCAGGCGGTTTGCTTGTTTCTCGTGGCACTATCCTCCAACATGACATGCACTTATGGCCTTGTGTGGCTAAACGCTCGTCTGACAGATCCCACTGCCAACTATCCTACAACATATGCACATGTGGGAAGCTCCAAAGCTACCACGGGCTGAAAAGGGGAAGGCCTGGCAGCTGAGGAGGGGGGATGTAGAGGAAGAGGCTCGCATTCAACCATACTCAAAGCTCACTCTGACTCATACGCAATCACTCGCATTAGGGCTCACTCGTCTTCGTCGGCCCTGTCGCCCACGTGGACGCGCTATTGTAGTCGACCGCTCACGAACAGACGCTCACCACGGCATGACATAAAACATGAGATGCACATATGGGGAGCTCCACGCAGTGAGTAATGCATTGTTTTTTTCCATCGCATTAACGCTCCGTGCTGCTGTATTTAGTCCGCGCAACGTCAAAAGGGAGGAGGAGGGAGAAGAGAGTGGAGGGGGGGAGAAAGCCCAGGTCCCAGGTGGCCAGAAACCGTCAGGCACACAGCACCACCAGCCTTGGCCAGATCCCTCCTGGAGCCCTAGGCTAGTGCGTGGCGCCTCCTGGCACAGGCAGGGAGGCCGCGTGCACTGGCCCAGGACCCAGAATGGGCCAAGTCTTTGTGAGAGTGCCCCAGGCGGGCAGCACCTGAGAAGGGTAGGAACCAATATGCGCGAGGCGCGCAAGTGACAGCCGATACCCGCGAGTGACACCCCGTCGTGACCCACGAAATCTCGCAAGTTTGTGCACTGGTCAGGGCCGCCTTGACGATTTGAGCACCCTCTCTCTGCAATGAAAAATGCCCGCCGAGGAAATAAGTCGAGTACGAAATGTGTCGGGAGAAGTCACTACTGGGAGGGCGGGGAGGCGGTCATTGTTGGCGGAGGGGATGCGATCGGCGATGCGGTGCGATCTGGGACCTAGCTTTTTCCGCCCCATCGCCAACGGATCGTCGATGCATCGGCGATGCGACGACGCCGAGGGAGGTCACCATCAAGCGGCTCTGCACCAGGAAGGAAAATCAGTGCGTGTGAGACGCACAGGCGATCACCCATCCCGCGCACGACCTCCTCGAGACCCATGAGCCTCCAGAAATCTGTGCACTGCTTCGACCCCAGTTAGTGGCAGCCTTCCTTTGGCACCGTCCCGCAGGTGCTGGCTTCAGCGCTGCCTCCCGCGGCGCCAGCGGCATCGCTGCCGGCGTGGTCAGAACACTCGCCGAGCAGAGAGCAGGTGGATCTGCTAATCGACGCCGTGCGCTCGACCATACGCGAAGAGTTGGGCGACCTATTTGCGAAGGGTGGGCACGTGCGCAGTTTCATGCGGAGCGAGGTGGATGCTGCCCTGCAGAGCTGGGGCTGCGAGCTTGCAGTCAGTATGGCCAGTCGGCCGACCGCCACTGCCGATGCGTCGGCTACTGATTCGCGCTCCAGCGAGCTACACTTGGCCAGCACGCCCCCGAAGGCTGGCCAGGCATTGCGCCCCTCACTGTGCGAGTCAGGCACAGTTGATCTCCGGTCGCACCTGATCAAAGATGAGGCGGGATCGTGTCTATCTTCTCCTTCGAAACGTAAAGAGGCCGACAACGTCCTTCGGTGCGAGAAGGGCCCAACACAAGAGCCAAAGTCAGCACGCGCGGCGGAGAGTGTGATAGGGGGGGGTGATTTGATGTCTGCGGCGGTCGACCATTACTCTGGGTGGGCGAAGTTGGCTGGTTTCATGAGTACCCGCGATTCCTTGCGCAGCGAGGAGTCCCTGCGCATCACGGAGCACAATGTCCTTCGTTGCATGATGGAAAAGGTGAGCAGGTTGCGGGATTGGCTGCTCAACCTCCAAGAGCCGCCCCGCGAGGGGTGTTTGTCTGGCTTCGTCGCGGGCAGGGTATTCGAGGGGGCAGTCTGCGTAACGATTCTCCTCAATTGCGCATTTATGATGTACGTTGCCGACGAGGAGATCAAGAACCCCAACGACGTCCCCCAGTGGGTGAGGGTGGGCGATATTTTGTTCTTGGCGTTCTACACCATGGAGATGGTATTGAAGCTGGTGGTTCATCGCCAATGGTTCTTTTGCAACGCGAATTGGAAAATCAATACGTTAGATCTGACACTGGTGGCTGCAGACTACATCTCGTTGACCGCTTCAGGTGGATCTGGAGGCGCCTTGAGATTGGTTCGCACGCTGAAGCAACTCGGGAGAATTACTCGTACAGTCAGGGTGATGGCCCACATGAAGCATCTCCGAGTTCTCGTTGTTTGCATCGAGGGATCTTTTTGGAGCCTCTTCTGGAGTGTGGTCATGCTTCTTATGGTTTGCGGTCTCTTCTCGCTCGTCCTGGTGCAGGTCGTCACATCGTACCTCGTCGAGACAGGTGAAGCTATAGAAGGGACCGTTTTCTACGACCTTTTCGGGTCAGTCGGAAAATCCACTCTGACGCTGTACAAGTCAGCCACAGGTGGCGATGACTGGGCCAATACGTACGATGTGATCAGATTGTCAGGGGAACTTGGGAGTGTCTTGTTTTTGCTATTCGTCTCGTTCGTGCAGTTCGCTCTGATCAATCCAATAGGCTTGCGCCATTGCGACGACCAGCAGGAGAGGTGGTGCATGACGAATTGTTGACGCTTCGCGTATCCCCACCAGCCCATCCAGAAACGATGCTCAGGGGAGTTGAGGTGATCAGGGAAGTCGGGGAGCATGCAGAATAACAAAGGGCGGGGGAAGCTGTCACAGACCCCGAGAGGGGGAGGATGGAAGAGGAGTCGTCGTCGTCGTCGTCGTCGTCGGAGGAGGAGGAGGAGGAGGAGGGGGAAGAGGAGGAGGAGGAGGAGGAGGAGGAGGACGGAGAAGGAGGAAGAATCGGAGGAGGAGGAGGAGGAGGGGAAGGAGCTTCTTGGGGGTCTTTTGAGGGCCTCTTGGAGGGCTTTTTGGGCGCCTTGGGGCATCTTGGGCGCCTCTTGGGACCCTCTTGAGGCGCTCTGGGGAGCCTTCGGGGCGCTTTTGGGGCCATCTTGGAGGGAGTCGATCAAACAAGAGGGGGGGTTTAATTAGCGCCCCCCCTCGGAAGCCCCTAAAATCGCCTCTTGGACCCCTCTTGGAACGCTCTTGGAGTGCTCTTGGGCGCTCTTGGGGCCGTCTTGGGGCTCTTTTGGGGCTCTCTTGGGGCCCTCTTGGGCCATCTTGGAGCCATCTCCAGGCCTCGGATGGCCATCGGAAGCGAAAAGGCGAGAAAGCAAAAATCATTGATTTTCCTTAGGTTTTGGGACGATTTTGGCCTCTTCGGGGCCTCCTTGGGGAGCTGTTTGGCCACTTGGAGTTATCTTGGGGCCGTCTTTGGGCTTCTTGGAACCATCTTAGGAGCCATCGTGAGCGATCTTGCGCTATCTTGAGCCATCTTGGAGCTCATCTTGGGTTCTCTGAGGCGCTCTTGGAGCCGTCTTGGGCCATCTTGGACGCTCTAACTACCCGCGGCCCCCCCCGTCCAGGTCCAGGGGAGGGGGTAGGGGGAGGGGTAAACCCCTCCCCAAGGGGGAAGAGGGAGGGGTGGAAGAGGATCTGTTCTAGACCACCTACGCCCAGAGGGCTGGTGGGATTCCGAGATTAGTGGGGTGCCCCTGGATGAGCAAAGCGAAGGAGCAGCAAGAGCGAGATGATGTGAGGGAGTCGGGGAGGAGGAAGGGGAGGAGGAATTGTCCGAAGAGGAAGTGTAGGAGATCAAAGGTAGGGAAGCCATGACCCTCGAAAGGCCAACAATGTCTTTCCGTGTTTGCGCTGTCAACGATATGAGCCGGGAGCGCCCACGTCTCCCATTGAAGGCCCCTCTCGCACGTGCGCCGGAGCACCTGGCGGCAAAGGACATTATTCGGGTCATTGTCAAGCTCTTTGAGTTTCCTCAGCCCTGATCGGAGCTTTCTTTTTGGGTTTGGAGCATTCTTGGACACTCGTGGGGTCATAGTGGAGCTCTTTGGGCGCCCGAATCCCTGATTGAAGCTTTCTTCTTGGGCTATGCTCTGGCTGTTTCTGGTGCCCTCCTGGGGCAATCTTCGAGCTACCTGGTAGCGTCTTGGAAGGATATCAGGGCCTTCTCGGAGCTCAGATGGGGCCATATTGGGAACATGTTGGGCTTCCGTGGTGCCCGCTTGGGCTATTTTTGGGCCCGTCTATGAGGTTTCAGGGGCCCATCTGAATGAGCAAAGGCGAGAGCGCCAAAGTCTGAACAATACCTCATATGTGTCAGTGATGCTTACCCCTCGCGGGCTTCCTTCGGAAGCTCAGGAACCATCGTGGCGCAATCACGGGGCCAACTTAGGCCATCGGCGAGGCATTTTGGGCAGTCTTAGCTGCCTCATTGCGAAGGCCTCACGGCCGGTGCCGCCGACCCTGAAGGGGGACGACGACGACGACGACGACGACAACGGCGATGGCGGCATCGTGGGCAGTCTCAGCTGCCTTATTTGGCTGTCTTGGGCCATGCTGGAGACATTTTGATGCTGCGGAAGACTCACCGCTCGGTGGGCCATTCTAGGGACTTCCTGGGGGAGGTGCGTTGAAGAGCCCATCCCCGCCACCCTACTTCCCGACTCAAATGGGATTTGGGGCCCGTGTTGTTGGGCAATAAGGAGATGGGAGCCAAACATCTTGCACCTTACACGCCTTGCCATCTGAGGACTCCTGTTGCCAAAACGCCGTCTTCTAGAAGAAGGTAGCGGGGTAGCATCAGTAAGCATGTTTTCCTTTTCACCAGCCAATTTCGTAATGCCTAAAGAGCAAGAGGCCAGAAGCATTCGAGTCCGCTCCTCTGGGGTATCAGCAAGAGCGTAAGTAACCCATCCCGACTTCGCTGTACACCTTGGAGCAGATGTCCAGAAACTGTCGGGAAGCATGTAGCGAGCTCCGATGTTGGATCTCGCATGGTGCCACCTCGGGCATTCAGCCCAGACGGTTGCACCGCAGTGCTTGCATGCGAACTCGGTTCGTCTCCTAGTCTCGCTGGTGACGGCACCAGAGCGAAAGATCGAGAGAAACGTCTTGTCCGTGTAGCTGAGTGAACCCTCCCAGCGCGTATAGGCCTTGGCCGAGCAGATCTCGACGTCGACGTCGGAGATTTCCTCCGCGTCGTGCCGCGTAGGAACCACTGCTTATAGGCAATGGATGCGTGCGATAACTCGCAGGACGTGCAGAGCACCGAAGGACCCCGACCAGAAGCGCCAGTAGTAGTCGTCCACGTGCTCCTCCACCGCTTTCAGCACACCCTGATCGTCGGTGGGATTGACTTCCAATTGAGCTCCTTGCGTGGGAGAGAAACGTCGGTACGTGAGACCCAACGCAGTTGCATGAGCAGCGATGGAATGCTCCATGAACACGGACCATTTCAGCTTAGGATCTACAATGTTCTTGAAAGCGAATATAGCAGCATAATACACTGGATGAAGTAATACATTCTGGGCCCACCACCTCCCATGGCACCACCAGGTGCAACCGGTGTGCCAGACGGCTCGCGCCAGGGCCCTGGCGTACTTACTGGGCGGCGGGATGACCAGTGGGCTCGCCCAGAGCCACAAAGGACGGATGTGGGCGAAGGCGAGCTTGAAGCGAACCTGGTTGCTGCCAGGGATGGAGGCCAGCACGGCGATGGAGGTCCCAAGCTTTGTCCACCCTTGGCGTGGAATGATGCCGAAGTTCGAGTCGGTCGGTATTGCGAGCACTCCGAGGTGCTCGATGCGTCGTAGAACGACGTCTTGGTCGGACCAGTGTTGTCGTTTGCCGATGTTTTCCACAAAGCCCACTCGGCGGTCGAAGCTCTGAGTATCTGCAATGTCGGTGGCCAGCGCGTCCGGCGAGGTGGAGACAATCGCGCGATCGTCCATGAAGGCGTGGCCAGAGGATAGGGGCTGCCGAGGGGCGAGGCAAGCCACCATCGTGGCTGGGGCCATGGCGCCCCCTTGCGGGAGGCCCCGCTGTGGATGGATCGGTGGCGCCGTCATGCCCATGAGGGGTCAGTGGCGGGGGCCCGACCACGCAGCGCGGCAGGTGTAGACCACGAGGTCTGGCAGGCCGCTCTGGATGAGGCTTTCTTGGGCTAGCTCGTGACCGATGTTGTCGAAGGCCCGTGACAGGTCCATTTCCACTCCGTCGGAGGAGTCCGCGCAATCGGATAGCCAGGCGGCTATGGCGTGGGTGACGCTGGTACCAGAGCGGTTGGCGTGCTGATTGTCTGGCGGCTCAGGCACGGCTTGGGACAGAGACCTGAGCCAGACTCTGAGGAGTACCGAGCCGACCGAGATCGGCCAGGTGTCGCTTTCCCCCTTGGGCACCCCTGCTACCCTCCAGTGGATGGCCCTGGAGAGGAGGTCGGGCGGGAGGTGGCCGTCGGCTTGGACAGCTGCTGTGGACGCGGCAGTCCAGAGGTCGAACAGCTCGCGGACGATGGCAGGGAACCAGTGGGCCAGAACGCGGAGCTCCTTACAGCTCCAGTCGTCAAGCCCAGGGCAACCCTGGGCGCGTTGGATGGCTTCCCGGAACTGGCCCCAGGAGGGTGTCCAGTCGGAGGCCTTGTCGGATTTCGGGAAGACGGTGTCCGCGGCATAGGTCTTCCAGCGTTGGTGGTGCGCGTCGCCGTCGTAGTTGTCGGGGCACCATTGGTCATGCCATTGCTGGCGCATGTCGTGGACGTTCATGGCGGGCGTCGGCGGCGTGGCCTTGAACATGGGAGTCGTAACGTCGTATAAGACCAGAGGTCGTCGCTCCAGGTGGCGAATCTCTGTCTCCATTGGCGGTTAGCCGCGTTCTGGAGACGGGCTTGCTCCGCCGAGGTCGCCTGGGAGATCCAGTGGAGGGCGTCGGAGTAGCATGGGATGCCGCAGGCTTGCACGTTGAGGATGCCGTCGAGGGCCGCATGGGCTACCGAACGGTGGTGCCTCGGCGTGAGGTAGTCGTCGCTTCGGCCTCCCTGGCGCAGGTGTTCTGCGAGGGCCCTGTGGAGGCGTAGCAAGCGTCGGAGGGCTATCGACTGGTCCAGTCGGTGTGCCCGTGAGTGCGAGGTTCGTCGAGTCGTGGGCTTGGAGCCCTTGGGCCGTTCGGCCAGTTGGTCGAGCTGCGTGCAGCCGCGGTCGACTGCCACTAGCACCGCCTGTTCGGCGCGTTGGTGCCAGTAGTCCCATCGGTCCGTGAGCGGCGGGTTGCTGTCGTCGTCGTCGCCGGAAATCAGGGGAGGACCAAATTCCAAGTCAACCAGTTCTTGCATAAGGGCTCTCTCTTCGGGAGGAGCGTCGCGGGCTGGGACGTAGGTAGCGGTCCGTCGGAGGCGGTGGGTGGTTTGTTCCGTGCACGGGACGTTGAGCGTGTAGCTGGCGAGGCCGAAGTGTGGAATGCCAGCCAAGAGCGTGGCGTTGGCACGCAGCGGTGGCTTAGCGTCGGGGCTTCCCCAGAACAGGGCGCGCGCCGGGCAGGCATTCACCGTGGTCGTGGTTGATGGTGAGCCGTCGGCGGTGGTGTCGAGGCGCCAGCCGTTTCCGATGACCCCCGCGTAGGTGGGGCGCCAGTTCAGGTCCCCAACGACGAAGATTGGGTGGCCGAGGTGGCCGAGCGTGCGAAAGAAGGTGAAACTGCGGTGGAACCAGTCGCGGTCGAGCTCGGCGTGGCCGTAGGTCGAGAGGACAGTAGCGTGTGCCGTGCGAATACCCACCATCCTGTGCCCGAGCATCGTGTCCCGAACAACGTGGACACGGCCCAGTGAGCGTCGCCAGAGTATGGCGCACCCCCCCTGGCGCACGGCGGCGGTGGCGCCCCTGGTGGCAGGGGGAGGGTCGGAGCAGGCGATGCTCCAACCGAGGCCCGTGGCGAGGCGGAGGACCCACCTGGGGCGGAGCTCCCGCTGGCGGATCTCCTGCAGACACACAATGCCAGCTGCTATCGTGTCCCGGGAGGACAGGATGGTGGTCAGGCGGGCCTCGGAGAGGCTAGTGACGTTGATAGTGCATACTTGGAGTTGCATGGCGTCGGGCGTGGTGTCCGATTCCATGGGTTGGTCGGCGTCGCCACCAGCGTCGTCGCCGCCGGCGGGGTCGCGCCGCGGTCGTTTGGCCCGCGGGCCGTCGCGCGTAGTATGGGAACACCCAGTCCCAGAAGGGACATGCAGTGGGGGCCTTGCCGAAATTGACGAGGGCGCAATAAAGTTGTGAGAAGCGCCATCATTCCCAGGAGATGGCTGCGGCGGGGTCGTCGACGTAGGTGTTGGCGAAGAAAATGAAGCCAGAGTTCCACCATCCTCTGGAGAAAACTGCGTCCGCAGCCGCTTACCATGTGGATCATCAGCGGTAAATTGCGAGGGCCGCCGTTGAGGCGCGAGCGTCTGCTGAGAATTTTGATGGGCATCTGAAGCATTGATTCGAATTCGTTTCGGTGCCGTGGGCTGGCACGTCGGAGAGGTAGATGCGTTCCTGGACATCGGCCCCCGAGGGGTCTTGCCTCCCCCCAGGAGCGGGCCCCGTCAGCTGCTGGAGGCAGCAGCGGCAGGCCGTCGGCGAACGCGTCGGCGCGGCTCGACTGCCTCCCCTTTCTGGCGAGACATCCTGGTGATGTAAGTCTGGCGGCCGTAGAACTGGTGCTGCTTCTCGTAGTAGCCAGGTTCTGCTTCCCGTTCAGCCGCGCGTCTGCGCGACTTCCTGTAGGCTTCCTTGAGGAGGCTGTCGGCCCTGGCCTGCCCGAGGAGGGTGCGGAGAGCTGATCGTTGGGCCATGCCGTCAGGGCGCTTCTTGCACGCCGTCTTCTTGAAGCAGGCGAGCGGGGGGCTCCTGCCGCAGCGAGAACAAGTGTACTTGGTGGTCTTCATGCGTGAGAGCTGGGTCGTGTACGCGGAGGCCTCGACGGGGGTCGCAAATGACGCCCCGGGCCTGTTGGGCCAGTTCCGTCTTCCAAGAGGCAGATCGTTGCCAAAGCTGCGAAGTGTTTTCCTCGATTCATGACGTCGGTCGCAGAGCCTCCGACTCCCAAACGAGCGCGTCGAGCTTCCAAAGGTTTTTTGGGAAGGTCCTCTCCTTGGCAGTAGCGCCAATGGACGCGGGCCTGGTTGCGTATCTGGTTGACCGTCTGGTTCAGGATGTTGGGCTTCCAGCCGCATTCGCAGTGTCAGTAGGTGTAAGCGTCGTAGCAGGGGCACGTGGGTGCCACCGGTGGGGTCACGGCGTCGCCGGGATCGCCCGCGATGCTGATGAGTTGTCGTATGTCGGCGGTGCCCGCCTGGGAGGGGGCCTTAGACGGCGTCGTGTAGGCTAACATCTAACATCGTAAGTTTGGATCTATCCCACACGCCAGGGTGTTCCATTTCAACTTCTCTCTCTCTCTCTCTCTCTCTCTCTCTCCCGGTCGGCGGACATCATCACAGGTATTTTCGTGGATTCAGCAATGTGCATCCTCAAACCAGACGCGGATACTCTCGCCCACGAGGACGCTCAGAAGCTCGAGCGCATTTGCCGCAGCGTCGACGGGGATGTCAACGGCAAGTTGTCGTCGGAGGAGTTCAAGCTAGGCATGCGGAAGAAGCAAATTTCCGCGTTGATCAAGACCATGGGACTTCAAAGGCATCACCTTGTCGAGTTTTTTCATTACATGGCTGAGGTCCAAGATGACGACGGGATGGTTGATATTCGTTCGTTTGTGAACGGCTGCATGTTGCTGAAAGGAGCTGCCACCAATTTTGATTTGCAAAAGCTGCACGCGGAGATCAAAGCCATGCAGGTACGACATGACCGGCATTTGAACAATGTCATTCAGCTCTTGCGCGAATTGCAGGTCTCGCCCAAAACGCAGCACTTCAACATTCGCATGCGGACGGAAGAACAAAGTGAATTCGTTGCCGGAGCCTAACCAAGTGCATGCAGCTCCCATGTATCAACAGGGTACAAATATAATAACTAAATCCAATTTTTTCCTGACACGGATCATTTGCGCGAGAGCAAATTATTTATTTTCCTGCCTTGCAAGCACGAGTTCGGCGCGCCTTTGATAGTTGTCAGCTGGCGGCATGGCATGCCGTTCGCTTCCTCGAGCCATGACCACTGCCAGAAGAAATATCGACGCATCAGCCGATCCCAAGGTGGATTGGCAACACCCTGGTATCTCCAGTTGCGCTGCCGCGCCATTCCGCCACCGCGATCAGGCACGCCCTGGGCGGGGGGGCTTTTAGGGGGGGGGGATGGGAGGGCGGGGCCACAGAACCCCCTTCCACAGGCGCTGTAACAATTCGGGACAACCTTCTGCCCGGAAGGACACAAATCGCGAGAGTTTGGCCACAAAAGTGACCACACTTTGATGATGATGATGATGATGATGATGATGATGATGATGATGAGGATGAGGATGAGGATGAGGATGAGGATGAGGATGAGGATGAGGATGAGGATGAGGATGAGGATGAGGATGAGGATGAGGATGAGGATGATGGTGATGGTGATGGTGATGATGATGATGATGATGCTGATGATGCTGCTGCTGCTGCTGATGATGATGATGATGCTCATGCTCATGCTGATGATGATGCTGATGCTGATGCTGATGTTGATGCTGCTGATGCTGAAGACGATGACGATGACGATGATGATGATGATGATGATGATGACGATTACGATGACGATGACGATGACGATGACGATGACGATGATGATGATGATGATGATGATGATGATGATGACGATGACGATGACAGTGATGATGACAATGATGATGACGATGGCGACGATGACAATGATGATGATGCTGATGATACTGATGATGATGTTGATAATACTGATGATGATGCTGATGATGATGATGATGATGATGATGCGATGATGATGATGATGATGATGATGATGATGATGATGATGATGATGATGATGATGATGATGATGATGATGATGATGATGATGATGATGATGATGATGTATTTGGGACAACGTTCTGCCCGCAAGGCCACAAATCGCAGGGGCCTGGCCACATAAGTGACCGCATCTCGGGCTCGGTGTGTCGGGGGGCCTTCCCTTCCTGCCTCGCACAAGGTACGAGGGCCCGGCGCGCACACCAACCGTTGCAAAGCACGGGGGGCGCACATCTCGCACCAGGCTGCGCTGCCGCTCAGATGCGGCGCCGCCCTGCTGGAGGAGATGGAGGGTGGCCCTGGGGGCGGGCGCAGACGTGGGGCTCATTTCGACCCCTCCGATTCGATTCGGTCTCGATTTCGATGGATTCCGATTCCGATCCGATTCGACTTCGGATTCCGATTGGGGATCCGAGTTCTCGACGGAGGCCTGCTAGCCTGCCGATTTCTGGCGATTCGACTTTTCCCGACTCCGTTGCGGACTTCCGCCGATCCGATTCCCTTCAGTTGCATTCGATTCTGGGCTCTCCTGCCTTGCTGGAGGAGACGGGGGGTGGCCCGAGGGGGCGGACGCAGACGGCTTCGCCCGAGGTCTCGCATGTCACCGAGCACGTTCCACCACTCGCAGGGTGCCTGCTCGCAGGCGTCTGACAAAACACGTGCCTGCTTCGACGCAATGGATCGCAGATCCCCCGCGGCGGGTGCAGGCCATCTGCGAGCTGTTGCTCTGCGAGTGGTGGGACGCGCTCGTCTAGTATGTCTGTGCCGATTGGTTCTGTTGCGGATCGAAGAACAAAAAAACGGCATAAACCTGATGTGTTTGCGTTCCGCGCGGGTTTCTCGGATCGGCGCTGGGTCCCCTTGGCGGCGCTTCCAGCGCCGCCCTTGGCGCGCCCCGCGCGCCAGTGAGAGGGATCCAGCGCCGATCTAAGAAATCCGCGCGGACCTCCGAGAAATCATGTTTATGCCGTTATTTGCTCCTCGTATGGAAGCGTCAGGTTTTCAGATTTGCAAAAATTGGGGCGGGGGGCATGTTCCTTTTCTGCGCAGCGCAAGTTCGGGACGAGTCCTGCCCGACAAACCAGCCGCGCCACGGCGCGGTGGCGGATTTTCCATTAGTAGATGCCTCGTATTTATTAATGTGCCGCCACGTTGCTTCGGTAGCGAATTCTCCTTCAACGAGTGACGAGAACCCAACGAGGGGCCTTCTTCACAGAAAAAATCTCGCACGACAGGCACGAGGCGTGATTCGGGGGGTGCTTTCAACCGTTCCGCTTCAGCCAACTCTACGAAGGCTCAGACGTGGTTGCCGAGCCGAGGTTAAGGACATGAGGGAGGATTTGGATGGGCCTCTTATCGGTGTCACGGGTTCAGCACAAGGCGCGCAGAACGCAAGCAGCCCGTGTGGCGCAGCGGGTGCAGCACGCGCATCCTTCCCTCCGCAGCACGCTGAGTCTCATCCGTGCGATGAGCGTTGCCTGGGCACGTCAGCGCGAATCGGGAGAGCGGAGAGAGAGCGGAGGGGCGGCCGAGCGCGGAGCGGGTCTTCTGGGCAGCGGCTTTCAGTACTGATCCCGCCGTGTTGCGGCAGCGTACTACTGTTGCTGGCGAAAGCCAGCCAGGACAATATATAGATATATATATATATAGAGAGAGAGATAGAAAGAGAGAGGAAAACAAAAAAAATGTTGAAATATATATATATATATATAGAGAGAGAGAGAGAGATAGAGAGAGAGATGAGAGAGATCGCAACGATTCGGGTCGCGGGTCTGGGCGCCAGGCAGACAAGCGGTCCGCGCGCTTTGCGCTTCCGGCTGGCGCACAGCGAATTAGAACGAAGGCTTGAGAGAAATTCGGCGTGCGAGAAGACGCACGGCGTTTCAAAACGGCATTCACTCATGAAGACGGACCCGAGCGCCCAGCCGCGCGAGTTCGCTGAGGCTCCCGTTCGCTCGGGGGCCGAGGGAGGCGTGGCGCCAAGGGGGGACGCTCCCTCAGACTGGGTGGACCCCGACGCGAAGCACCCCTCGGCGGGGAGAGCGGGGGGGAGGGGGGGAAGCTTGTTTTTTCCTGGCTGACTAGGGGCAGCGCGGAGCGACGACCTGCAACGGCAGGCGCCCCAGCAGTGTGAAGGGGGTGGTGGCACAAACACGAACGCTCCCCCGCTCGCAGAGGGACCGCCACCCGAGGAGAGGAGGGAGGAGGGAGACAGGACAAAGGCACAAGGGAGGGAGGGACGTAGGAACAAGGGAAAAGAAGGACGAGGGGAGCAGGAGATGGGTATCCTCACCACGCAGTGTGTGGGGGGCGGGTGTCCGCGAGAAGCTGGGAGCCAACACTCTTGGCGACTGTGGCGCGCGGTGGCAAGTGAGCTGGTGCTGCTGCGACGGAGGCGGCAGTCCGCGGGCCGTCCGTGGCAGTTGTGGCTGGGCCTGGCGAAGCCCTGGTGAGGTGTGCAGTGGAAGTGCCAACGGCCTAGGCGACCGTAGCGCTTGACGGGTCGGGGGTGGCCCCAACCACTAGAGCAATGGTGCACCACGGGAACTGCGCGCCTTCCTTAGCGGACGTGGCGGTCCTGGGCGGAATTTTCGGGAAGGGGGCTTCAGTGGTGGTGGCGGCCATGGCGGCGGCCTGCTGGCGGGGCAGTGTGCACCGGTGGCCAGTGGCTGGCGTGGTGGCGAGTTGGCGAACAGTCTTGGCGGCAGTGGCGTTAGAAGTAGGCCGGGCTGGCCCCCGCCCCTGCAGGGGGAGTGGCGCTCAAGGGGTGCTGCTCCGCCCTACAGGAGCGTGGGAGTGGCTTACAACGGGTGCCGCTCGCTCCGCGACCTGGGCGGTCGTGGCGTGCCCGGGGGGGCCGTGCGGTGGTGCGGTGCTGGCCCTCGAGGCGGCCTTGGCGGCGGCGGCCTGGAGCGAGCGGTGCGGTGCTGTCGAGCGCACGCCATGAAGGCCGTCGGGGAATGGCACCTCAGTTGTTTGCCCTGGGCGGGCTGGCCTGGTGTCGCCTGTTGGCTCGAGCCCTCGGCGGGCTGGCCTGAGCGTGGCGGGCTCTGGCGCTGACCGGGCGTGGTCCTCGGTGGGAGGGCCAGTCGTCCTGGCGGCGGCCGGAGAGTCGGCCTGCTGGCGGGGCAGTATGCTCTGGTGGTCGGTGGGCGGAGTGAGCTGCCGTCGCGGCGGCACTTGCTGGGGCTCGCCCAGTCCGCGCCCTGGCATGAAGGGGGCATCGGCCACCCGCCCGTCGGCGGCCCCGCCTCTGAGGCTGAGAGGCTTCCCCAGGGCGGTCACGATCAGCACGATCAGCTGCCCGATCCTCAGCCTCCTCCACGACACGCAGCGGGGGGCTGACGGCCACCACGACGCCCGCCAGGGCGCTGCCCGCCGCCGCCGCCAGCGGGGTGCCGGCGGCGGCGGCAGCAGCGGTGACGACGACGACGGCGGCAGCGGCGGCGGCGGCAGCGGCGGCGGCGGCCGGGGCCAGGCCTTGGGGCGTCTTGAGTGCCTCTTGGGGCGTCTGGAGTGGCTTGGGGGCCTCGTGAGGCCTCTTGAGGGCCTCTTGGGTCTTCTTGGGGCTCTTTTGGGAGCTTTCTGGCCGTCTTGGGGCCATCTTGGAGGCCATCGATCGAAGAAGGGGGGGGTGATTAGCCCTGACCCCGCAGGTTGCAGGCAAAGCCTCGAGAAATTTATGTGTTTTCTCTTCTCGCCGAACCCCCCCCGTCCACACAAGGGAGATGGCGGGGGAGAGGTAAACCCCTTCCCGAAGGGCAAGTGGGAAGACGGAAAAGGAAACGCGCTAAACCGCCTGCGCCCAGAGGAGAAGGGGGGAGGGGGGGGGGCAACCGCGGGTGAGCGGGCCAGCAGTCGTGGCGACCGCGGCGTTTAGCTGCATACTGGCTGGTGCTGCCTCGTCGGAGGCAGCGGCTCTTTGTTGTCGGGAGCCCTGGTCCTCGCGCCGTCCATGGCGGCTGTGGCGGCGGGCTCTGATAGTGCCCAGGTGTGGTCCTCGGTGGGAGGGCCAGCAGGCGTGCGCCTGGCAGCAGGTCGGGGGTGGCCCCCGCCTAGGAGGCAGTGGCGCACGGCAGGTGTTGCGCGACGCCTTTGGCGGGCGCGGCAGTCCTAGACGGAACCCGCGGGGAAGGGGGCCTCAGTGTTGGAGGTGGCCTGGGCGACGGCCTGTTGGCGGGCTTGTGTGCCCTGTTGGTCAGCGGATGGCGTGGTGGCGAGTGGTCCAACAGTCTTGGCGACTGTGGCGTTTGGAGGCCCCTCAGCAGCAATCCCCGCCCCCGGGGGACCGGGACCACTCCGCAAGGCCGAGTCCGACAGAGCGTCGGCGCGTGGTATTGCTCGGGGCCACCCGTGGAGGAGAGAGAGAGGGAGAGGGCAAGCCGGGTGCGCTCGCGCCATGTCGGACATCCGACCCCTCCCACCCATCCCGCCCCAGTGCTCTGATTTGTTCCCTATCCGCCGATGCGTGCCATAGCAGACCTGGAACCCAAAAGAAACCAAATTGTGTCACGCGCAATTACAAAAGAAGAGCTGCGGTCACTGGAGGAGAAGAAAGTGGTGGATGAGCAGTAGTTCGAGCAGGAGGAAGAGGAGGAGGATGAGAAAGGAGGAGGATGAGGAAGGAGGAGGATGAGGAAGGAGGAGGACGAGAAGGAATAGCAGCAGCAGCAGCAGCAGTAGCGAGAGAAGCGAGAGGAGCAGGATAACCAGGGGAAGGCGGGGAGGGAAAAGGAGCGGGTCGGCGACGATGAGGAAGCACTCGGATCCAGAAAAGTGGCCGCGCTGGGACGACAGCGCCATTCTGAACGATGAGAGCAAAGCGCCGATCCTAAAGTGATGCCAACGCTGCAGCGAGAAAACCAGTTTGAGACACCGAAAACGCTCCGATCGAAAAAGCATGGGAAGTGCAAATTGTTGAAATCCTGCGTATGATAAGCAAGCATTCGGAGGGGGGCCGACCACTCCCCGGCCACCTTCGGGGGAGAGAGGAGAACAGTCTTCAGATTGAGCAGCTGTAGACGGAGACGGAGAGGGAGACGGAGGGGGGAGGGAGAGGGAGAGGGAATGGGAGAGAGAGAGAGAGAGAGAAAGAGGGGAAGGGGCAGAGGGAGAAGGGCAGAAGGAGGGAGAGGGAGGGGGGGAGAGAGGGAGGGGGAAAGGGCAAGCTAGAAGCGCTCGCGTCATCATATCTGACGTCCTACCCCTCCTTCCCATCCTTTACCATGGCGTAGATTTCCTTCCTAGTGGCACAATCGGATGTCGCAGCATGGCATAGCATTGCATGGCATAGCATGGAGATGGAGATGGAGAGGGATAGGGAGAGGAAAGCAGAAGGAGGGGGCTCACGCTACGGGTGGGAGCTCGTCCGGCAGCATGCTTAAGAAAGAAGGAGGGGGCAGAGGGAGGGGCCAGTCACCTGGGGCTCGAGCTCGAGCTCGCTCCTCTCTCCCCGCCGCGGCCCGCGGCGCCATGCAGCAGCACGGGCCGGCGGCGCTGCCCGCGGCGGGGGCGCCCGTGGGGATCTGCGGCGTGCCCGAGCTGCAGTTCCTGCCGCGCTGCGCCGCGCTGGTCCAGTACGGCGGCGGCGATGCGGGGCGCGGGAGCCCGCGGCCCCTGTCCGACGGGGTTTTGGGGGGGGGGGGGGGGCGTACGCGTCGGGGTCTTATAGGCCAAGCAGTGCTCACCTGGTCGTTCCCGCTGCTCCTCCTCGTGCTCGCGCGCTGCTCCACCCGCTATGCTTCCGAAGTTGTGTATCATCACGCACGGTTCTGCTTGCTTGCTTGCGCGAGAGCTCGCGCTGCAGCAGGCATGCGCGTGTTTTGTTGTTTGCTTGCTTGCTTGCTTGTTTGCGTTTTGGGCGTGCCTCACTGCGCGCATGCATGCTAGACTCTTCCGCGATGGGGCTTGCCCAAGAAGTCCTTATTTTTTTGGTGAGCCAGTGCAGTGCGGCCAAATCTCCGCGATTCTTGGGCACTTGGGTGAAGTCGGGCATGTCCCTCTACAGGAGGCAAAATCAGAAATTGACAAAAAATAGTTTGGTGACGATTTTGCATTATGTTTGACTATGTTTGCACATTTCTTGACTATGTTTATTTTTCGTCCAAAATGCGCCTGTAGGGGGACACGCCCGACCTAACGCTTGGGCCCTGGTTCTTGGGCCCTTGGGCCATAGAGATTCCAGTTCTGGGCCCCAGGGCTCCTGGTTCTGGGCCCTCAGCT